TCATACATCAAAAGCCCTAGATAATTCTAAGCCCCAAACAGATAAGGCAAAGATAAATTAAAGAATATAAATTTATTTACAATGAACTCATCAAAAATTCGGATATTTATTCCTAGACGTGACAAAAGGCAATATCAAGGAATTTTGCTTCCTTCAAAGCTGTTAACTGCTATACGGCTTCCTTTATTAAAGCTTTTAACTTGTTCGGGCAACCGCAACAATCCGCGAATTGATTGAAGCAACCGCGAATTTCCGAATACAATTAACTGTGTTACGTTTAATTTTTAATTTGCTTCAAATGAAAGACGGTTGGAAGCAAATTCAAATTTTGTTAAAATGCAATTTAAATTCGAAAGTAAAGATAAACCGCAACAGTGTGTCCGAGTTTCCATGGAAATGCAGTGAATTATGAATTCTGATAAAACTAACAAAGCAAAGCGCATGTTTGCAATATCTCGTTACTGAAAACATTATTCTTTTACTCGAATACCCGAGGAAAAAAAACACTCATTAGGATATGTAGTTATGCTCCAGAAACGTTTGTTATTTATCTAACCCGTTTTTGGCCTTTTAAACAGCATAGGGCAATTGAAAGCTGTTTCTCGCATATTCCGTTACTGTTCTGAATGACGCAGTCAGGCAGCATTTGTGTCAGTTGGTAACGTCACAACTAAATACCTGCTTCCACGCAATCCCGCCAGCGCCTATGCTAAGGGCTATGATATTTTTGCTTTTGAGACGAACTATGACTGCAATGTGCCAAAGTTTAGGCGAGAGTCTGACAAAGCTTCCATCGGTCTTGACGTTGTGCAAAATCAAGAAAAAAATGGTGGGACATCGCTTACTCTTCTTCCCCTATTTTCTCTTGGCAAAGCACGTTCTTTCCGTCTGTAAAAAGGAAAAAAGTTGATTTTTGAATCTACAAGCTTATTTATAGAAATCGGTGAACTGAAGGGATGATGCAATTTTCAAACACTGAATAGAATTTTTGAATAGAAAATGAGTTTAGCACATTATTGACAAGTCTTTACAAAAAGCTAAAAGGAGTCTTTTCCCACGTATCTTAACAAGAAAAAATGAGATACTGATTAATTTTTTTGTTCTCTTTTTGGGTAATTGCTGCCTTTTTAATTCTTTCAATTTTTCCTTCTTTCATTTCTCGGCTTTTAGACGAAAAAGCGAAGAAGAAAGCGTCGGCAAAGTTTAAGTTTTCACAGTGAATTTTGAGTAAAACCCAGTCAATGCAGATGAAATATAAATCCAGTAATCCAATTTACCTGTTTCAACGGGTCGCTGATCTGCAACGAGTATTGTTATCATCGAAGCAACCCATGAGTGACCAAGACAGAATTTCTCCTCACAATATCAATACAATATCAAGCAGACAAGTGATGAGAAAAGAGAAAAATATCAATTACAATTCTCCTTTCTGTCTGCCATACAATTCTCAAGGCACTACTTCAGAGAATTTGGTATTTTATCAACCGATAATCCACTAACTTATGTTTTTAGTTATTCCCTTCAATGGACTTCACTTGTCAGCTTGATTTTGTGTTGATGTTGTAAGGAGAAATTCTCTCTTGGTCATTCACGGGAGATAAAGAGTTAAGCAAGGCATCTAAGGCAAACAGTGAGCTTCTCAGGATAATTCTCAAATCAGCCCTGAAGAGAAATAGCTAAGAATCTCTTGCTCACAGCCACAAAAATAATCCCGTTTTTATACGCAAACAACAGAAAGCAGACAATGAGAAGTCCACCTTTTACCGTTGGCTATAAATCTGATGCTTATCTTGTCTACTATCACTCCAGCACAATTATTTGACGTGAGACTTATACGGCTGCGTAGTGATAAAAAGGTCAGCGAATGAAGGAAAATTATCTTCATTGGAAAAATTTCCATACAACAATGAAGTTAATCTGTCTACACGACATCAGGGTTTTAGAAGGTTTAACACATAAAAATTTTAAGTTCAACGGATACTTTCACTTAATCTTCAATGCTTCACATAATAAAGCTCATGAAACAAAAGATGATGGCTTGGCTGAACAGTTAAATATCTTAATCCCGAGAATAATCGTCTATTCAATAGACATGGTATTACCTTCCTAATTACGGCATGTAAACATTAAAAGCCAAGAATAAAAAGATTCTTTTTAAAGGTGTTTTGTACATTTGTCACTTTTTATTAGTTCAAAACTTATTCCCGAATTAAGCGAAGAGCCTTCGTTTAATTTGCACGTTGCTTTCGACTCCGTCGTGAGTTGACCTGAAAAGACTGTTGTAAGAAAACCGATAGTGAAATCAAAAGTGGGACGTTTTTGTATTTCACTTGGTTTTTTTTTTTAGCAAAAAGGCACTTTTCATTTCTCGGATTATCTTCCAAGGGGATTAATTAACACGACTCGTCGTCTCGAGAAACTTGTTAAGTCCATTGCGCGCACGAAACGTGCACGAATCCTGGTTAATCTCCGGTTGGTTTGTAAATCTCCGGCTAGGTGGAATACGTCCCGGGTGGGTGCTGTTTAATCTCACGGGTAACCTATAACATAGGGAAACGCCGGTGGGAAGTACTCCTGCAAAACGATATGTTTTACTCTTTGCCTTTCTTTGTAAAATCGCACGGACAGGTTATTGTTTTTGGGCGAGTGCGGGCAGGGGCTAGCCTCGCACGCAGTTCCCCCGGTCCGCATCTGGCCAATATCTCCCTATTTTTCGCTTTTTATCCTTGATGGGCCATTCGCTTTTTTTCCGTCCAGCGTTGAATGCGTTTCCTGATATTGGGTCGGTCGGTCGGATTGAAAAAGGAAACCTAAAAAAAAAAATACACAGGAATTCTCTGGATAGGAAGCCTGGTACCCCAGCATTATTGCTGTGGAGCCCGGAGACATAACCCAGAATCGATAAGGCGGGAACGTTGGTTGATGCTATTGTAAAATTAGGACAACGTGGGAAAAAGATCAACCACCGAAACTCCTATGCGACATACCAGCATCCCTCACTTTCCAGTAACTGCTTGAAAAGGAAGTCCTGGATATATCAAACATTGCGGCGTTAAAAAGTAAGTATTTACGTACTTGGATTGACAAAACGCACAATATACTATAAAAAAATGTCCCAGTTTTTGTTCCTGTTTTTCCCTATGCTGTTACTATGCTCGTCCTTCAGATTAAAAGAATCATTTAAAGTGAAAAATAGTTTAACAACGTCGTTACTTTTTTATTTATTTTTTTTTTTTTGGAAAATGCCAAAAATTTGGGTCGGTCAGACGACAATAAACGGTGAAAAAAAAGAGGATCGCCATATTCACGTAACAAATTCTGCTTGATCTACAGCCACCTTGTAATATGCTTTTGCGGGTGACAAAGGAATTATACGTGAAGCATGACTAAGGCCAAAATCAATATATGAAGCGTGAATTTTACAGAAGGCAAGCGCGATTCTCAAATTCATGAACCAGCGTGAGGCGTGACATACCTCCTGAAATATACGAGACCCGTGAAGTTTTTCTTTCAGTTCGTGAAAGCCTTAATATTTTCCCGAAACTTATATTCAAGAACAGAGATTTGGATTTCCCCTCCCTTTTTGCTACCCCCACTTTTATGCCTTTTCAAGAATTTTCTTCAGTGAATTTTCCAACTAATCAAAATCAACAGATTCTTTGCCCTTACATCACGAGGCTTTCAGTTTTTCCTCAAAGTATGGGCATGGTAGTCACTTTCATCAGCTAATCACGTGCAAGAATTTTCGTGACGTATTACAAACTTTTCGCCATTTCACCGTGCGTTTGGTGCAATATTTTTTTAAGGAATGATCTGAAATCTCTGATTTTCTTTGATGATGAAGTGTTTTAAGCTTAGCCGCTTCTTCGAAGGTTCATGTTATTAGCGGGATGCCGTGTTTGTTATTCTGAAGAAAGCTTGGAACGAATACGGCGGTGCTGGGTTGGTGTGGGGTGTAACAAGGTAATTTGGTTTTATCAACTGAGTTGATAATGAAAACTGGCCACCAAAGAGAGTTTGCAAAGCTGACATTTTGAGCGATAGCCTTTTGTCAGAGCAATTAGAAGAATCATGAGTTTTGTGGGGTTTGTTTACAGAAAGATGGAATTTCTCCATAGGTGGGAACTAGAAATGATTAGGCCGGTAACTGGAAGTTATTTTCAAATTCTAGCAAACTTTTTCAAATTAAACCCACCTGAATGTTTGCAAAATTGAAGTCCGGCAATGGAATGAACACATTCGACTGTTTAAAAATGTTAATGTTTTGCTGGCTTGAGAGAAGAAAAGTCTTCTGCTAACACAGTATGTTCAAAACCAAGCTTCTGTGAATATTATCCTCTCTAGCTTAAACCTGACAACTCTTTCAGACCCGACAACAGTGGAAAGAGCATTGGAGCAGCCAGTTTTATTTACTTCAACTATAGACTACGAAAACTTTACGCTTAATTTGGCTGTGGTATATTTTTTTTAACTGATATATCTTTTAAACTAATTACAAAACGAATGTGATGATAACTAGCCTACAAATTGAAAATGATAACAAATAGATTGCAGATTTTCTTTTTTTTGTCAAAGCGGACTATCAAAAGAAGAAATAATAAGACGAAAGGCGAAAGACGGGATGAAGAAATTGTGTTGTGAACGAAAAACCGTTGTTGGAAGTTATATTCCTGCTTTTAGCTGCGGCTAGTTATGCGTTTGTTATTTTTCACCTGTCCTGAATTTAACCCTAAAACGTAACCCAGCCTGCAGAGTTATTAGGTAGAACGCGACAAGATCTCACGCCCTTGCAATGCAACGATTCTACCATCAACGTTTTAAAAATAATTCGTGCGTGCACCTGCCATACTTCGCAGACTGGTCCAGAACCAAAGCCCCCCCCCCCATTATGGCAATTTCAAATCAAGATCTTCGGCGAGCTATTTACAATTACCAGATTCGGTTACATTGATGGTTTGCAATTTAAAAAGCGTGCTTCTACCAATCGGTCAGAACCCAATTTAAGACGGGAGATTCTTTGTGTTGGGTTCTTTTTCATTCTTATCACATATTCTTGACACAGCATCTCGTGTTCCTAAAAGCGGTAACCGAAAGGAACCCATTCTTGAGTTCTTATCTTCTAACAGCGGTAGTACAGGAGGTCTGAATGACTTGAAAGGTTCAATGAAGCCGGGGACAGCCAGTCTGTTCGGCGGTTCTGGTGCAGATAATGCCGGTATATGAAGATGACCAGATTCCAGACGAGCAGCTGATTCTATCTTAGGAAGTTTTAAACTCGCTTTATCTTTGAACTCATCTTCCGCCTGAGATAAGACTAGGGCTGGGACATCAAACTCCTTCTTCCTCCCTGAAAATTCTCCGACAGAATACTGTCCAATCTCTGTCGAAGGACAGTTACTGTATTTACCTTCTACCAGAGGCGGTAAAGCTGATGTCCTTGTTGGCTTTGACTTCTTCTCCTCACTCTGCTGATTTTTAAACTTTGTCTGTGAAAGTAAATTGTTCCTCTCCTCAATTGTACCATTCATTGTTGCACTATATTCCGTTTCATAGTTCACGCACCCTGCGGTGGACGAAAATGAGCCCAAACTTTCGATTACGTAACTCTTTTCCCCATTCATGTCGTTGCTTATGACAGGAAAACTTAGTCGTCGTTTCGGGCGCAAAGGTAATGCAACTTCGCTGAAGAACTCAAGACAACGTTCTTCCCAGGCCGTCAGTTTATGGAACTGATACAATTTTTGATCGTGATTATCAGCCAAGTCTCCGAATGCCTCGAAGTTTCTGTCTTCGCTGTTTGTTGCGCCATCGTTTTCCCATTGTGTATCAAACACTAATGGTTCTGCGATGGAATTCTTGTTCACAACCAAGTGCTTACCAATCTCTCTCTTCTCCATAAACACGCAAAACAGTATGTCTCATTCTTTGAAAAACTTAGTGGCGCTTGTGGCTGACAACATAACGAAAGCAGTCACAAAACTAAACCACGGTAGTATCAAAAAGTATCGTCTTATTCTCTTGTAGGCGCAATATATCTGCAACGGTAACCAGCATTTAGTAGTGTCCGCGTATCCTGATAATCCTGTCGTGCGGTCAGTTTAAGGACACAAATTATCACTGACGTAACTTTGACGGTGTCTACAGATGTTACAACATTTCGCCATCCTACACTAAAAACCCCAGAAAACGTTTTAGAGATAAATGCTTTGCGAACTCCTCCAGAGTGTTGGTTCAAACAAACGCTTATCAGCTCATTGCATTGTGTTTATTACTTTGTCGGTCCGATATCTAGACATATCAAGCACGGTTTAGACCAAAATAAATGTGATGTTGATACCACAACGCTCAATATCCTGCTTGTCAACCTTCGTCCGCACATTGACAAATTCATATTCCAGCAAAGGAGCTTTTGATGTTAATTATCATAGCAAAAATATTTTATTTGTTCTCATTATATGGCCGCTTAGGCACAATGGTGATTTGAGAACGATTTCAAGTTCAACCTGAATTATTTATCAGTTCTAGTCGTACATTTTTTGTTTTCTAACTAATTTCCCGTCTCGATTCGTCCCATGCGTCAAAAGGAGTTGCGTTTCCCCTCATTAAATCTATTTTTTACATGAGTCCTTTTGTTATTTTCAGCCAGTGTTTTGTGCATGTACCAAATCATGTCGAAGTATTAAGGCTGCTTCAGAAGTTTACTTTTCCTTTATCAACTATTTCCTATCTTTTACGGAATAATTAGTAATTCTTATCTGCGTTTTCTTTCCTCTTTTTAGCTCTCCTCTTTTAAGAGGTTAGTAATTTAATTTCAAAAGATACTTGGGATTCTCTCCTGGATTTCTCTCCCTGTTATGAATTCAGTTGAGGAGCTTTGGAAAACTTTCTCGCTCTTTTATCACAAAAACATTAGTGAAATTCAGACTTCATCGGAAAAGATGGTTAATAACCCCCTACCTTCCCCGCCCCCTCACAAAAAAAAATTCAACGACAAACATCACGAACAGTCTTCTATATCTGTGCCCGGAAATTCTGAGAAATTTGTCCGAAAAATTATCAAAAAAAAGTTCTTGTTATCTCTGAAATCCCTCTTAAGTATGTTTTATTCTTGTTTTGAAGATAAATCGATTCTTCATCACTTAAGCCAAATTTTTCTTCGTGGGAGAATAAGATAGAAAAACGATTTTCTATACTTGTAAAAATACTGTAAAAATAAGAAAATCAGAGACAAGTTTCAAAACAACATATTCCTAATTTGTCAATAGTTTATTCATATCTGGGAAAGTTCTAAATATTCCCAAAAGTATTCAGATATTTGTGAAAACGTGTGAATGAAAGCTCCAAATGATTTACCCCTCATTAAAGGTGGAACCAAAAACGGTGTCAATTTGCAGGAAAGGTTAGGGGCTCTGCAGAGACCTAAGTCCTATATCTAACCACAGTTCCCCCACGAGAACCCATACGGGACCCTTTTTCACCGACTGTTTGATAGTTCAATACTACTACTGTTTTTTCCTGTGTTCCCTAAAAGTCGTGTTCAATGAAATACAATTTACATTTATTCTCAATATCTATAATGTATTGACTTTTCCGATGGCAAAATTACTGCTTCCTATAGCCTTGATGTCAGCTCTATATTACTGTAACTCAAACACTAGAGGGTGGGTAACCCCAGTTTTTTTATTGCTTAATATTAAGCAGATTAAGGTTCATCTTCTAGAAAATGTTTTTACTGAAGACCCTAAAGTTGTGCTGAACTGTATGTACAGATCAAAATGAAAGAAAAACAACTTTATATTTGAATATCTGAAAAAGTGCATCCGATTGTTATGAGATCATACGTTACCATATGGCATAATTTAAAACTTGCTAACTTATCAATAATGGTAATAGGACAGAGTCGAGTCCAATTTGGTCTGTAATCAGACGAGTGATTTCAATCATTGTCAATCACGAGTATGATTGAATAGACGCGAAGTCCTGTAACCAATCAATCATAACCATTACAATTTCGGAAAAAAAACAGATACATTTATTTGAGAAAATATCTCCCGTAGAGGCATTGTCTAAAGTACAAAATCCCTCCATTTTGGAAATTCCCCGATTTTTTTGTCAATTCTGTGATTGGTGGATTTTACTGAGTGGACCTATTGCAATTGGCTGCCTTTACCGTCTGATTGCAGGTGTCCGATTACAGCCAACTGTGCGATTACACTGTCTCACAATAACTCTACAAAATAATTAGGGAAATACAAAGCAGCTAATGCATCAATCACATTTGAGGACATTGAAATGGTTATGATACGAGCAATTTTCAACTGTGTCGAAAGTAATCGGATATTGCGTTGGTTTTACTTTTCTCCGCTCTGTGGTTGGTCCAGAGAATTCATGCCACTTTTTTTCAACAAATCAGATCCATGTTTAAAACCAATCATGACTTAGTCGTTCGCGCTTTAGAAAGTTTGGCTACTCTCACTTTGAGATTTTATTGGCTGTTTAGAGTATTTCCTTTCTCCTGATTGGCCAATGGGATTATTTTGGTTTTGGTTTTACGTCACTCAATCGAAAAGCACACCTATTATTGTAATTTTTTAACGAAGCAGTTCTGCTTTAATCTAATGTACTCTATAGTCTGCCAACATGGATATGACCCACTTTAAATGGGTTTTACCGTGAATTTAGAGCTTCTTAGAGACATGACTTCAGTGTTCAGCCAGAGTCTTGTTTGCTGGGTTTTTTCTAGTCTTCTAAAACCGCCTCATCCACTCGCCATGCATTTCGACTTGATATCAGGATTGTTCTCACTGGTAAAGCTTTCAACGGCTGAGAGATCTTCAAAATAAACACCGGTCATACCAAGGTGAACTGTCTGTTCTCATTATTAGTGAGGTCGCTCTGTCAGGAAATGAATCAATTAACCACAATTACTTGTTCCGTTTTAACACTAGCGTAGAGAAGTATCTTCCTCTCTGTTGTTTGTAGACTTTTGAAATGGGAAATTTGGTTTTATCAACTGGGTTGGTAATTTGGCCACCGTAAAGAGTTCTAAAGCAGACGCTTTGAGTATTAGCCCTACTCAGACAAACGGCTAACGTTTTGGAAACTCGTTCGCTAATTTACATTATCAAGTGAATTGTTAACTCAGTTGATAAAACCGAATTATCTTATCATACCCCCAGCGACGCAGCATCACAGTTTCTTAAAAACTTACCCCTTTTTAATATGTGAAGCTATGCAGAGTATGTCACTCGAAACATTTTCAAAGGAACGACTCAAGTTGGTGCGGAGCAAGTAAACTTTTATATGTTTTGTTTGTTCTAGGTTTGGTTTTTTTGTTTTTTCTTTCCGTTTATTTTTTCTTACACCTCTTTCACATTAAACTCCTGGGTGCTCTCAAAAAACCTCGTCATTCGAGGTTTTGTTGAAATGTTTTGACAGGTTCTCTTTTTCGAATCAGTTCAGATTAGCATGTTGCGATTTAATGCGGCAATCTCATCATTGCAAGTGTTCGTTGGCTGTACGATTGTAGTTTAAATATGTTATTCGTTTTCTTTTCTTTTTTATGTAAAGAAACGAAGTAAAAGAAACCTTCCAAAGTGTCATTTGTTTGAAAAAGTGCATATCAACAGTTCATAATACATTTTTGCTTGTAAAGATTTTATTGTTAAATCCTTTAACATATGTCTATCGCGTACAATTCTTCTTCGTTCATTCATCCAAAGTTAATCTTTACATTATATTTGCTGCTTATGAGGATAAAAGCAAAGCAGAAGTCTTCGGCAATTTATGAGACCACGACGAGTCAAACTATACTAGTTTCACCTTTCATCAATTTAGCATGTGTTTCAATAACGCCTAACAAAGGAATCGTAGGATGTTTGAAAACATATCGCTGTAATGCAATGAGACCCAATTTACATTACAATTCTTTTTCAATTAAAATGTTTTCACTGTTTTTTCTTTTCCTTGCAAAAGCTGGTTGTATATAAAGCCTAAGTTATAAAATTGTACTGTTTCTGATGGAGAAATATGATTTCCGTACTGGTAAAATATTCTAGAACTAAAGCCCCCGCTGGTGTGTATTCAAACGGATGGAAATTTCCTTTTGTTTTTAAACCTAAGGATTACAATTAAATCGATTTTAAAGGCATCTTAATTTTGACTGACAAACGTTTTAAAGAGCTTTCGCCAATTATTTTTGTTTACAACTTTTCAGTTTAAATATGGCTGGGACGTAGACGGGTAGTTCAGTCCACAGGCGAAAAATTTGTATCCATTGTGAGGTGCCTGGCAGATTGAAACATTTCATTAAGCCAGTTAGGAAAGAACGGCCAAAATTCAAATTGAATCAATCGTTCTTTTCATTTCAATCAAGGACAGCTGCTTCAACTAATTAGCAATGCGTCGCCTGAAAACGGTGTTTTCTTGTTCAGTTCAATAGGAAAAAAACTTAAAAATCAGGTCATCAATAAATTAAGAAATTTATTTCCACGAAACATACTTCAGATACATGTGTGCTTGATACTTTCCATTCCATAAAATATTTCGCGCTCATACTTTGAGACACATTTCTCTAATGTTTAATCATCTTGGCTATCCAAATTTTTCAAGAGCTTTTAAGAGGTGCAACTTAAAATTTATTCCATGCTTTTCGACTCATACCGTGAAACGTTAAGAGGGCACATATTGAAAGCGTTATTGTATAGATCGACATGTTTTCACTACCGAAAGTGGAAAGTCACTTAATGGAGAATTGAAACCACCTCAAAATAACAATGTCCGTTTTCCATTTACGTCGAAATCGAAGAACAAAACGTAAACAGTTTAGAAAATTGTTCGCTCGTTACCTCTTGAACTGCTTGGTATTTTGAAAACAGTGATCCTTTGACTTGGGTATTTAAAGCTAATTTCCACGGCAAGCGATCAACTCCTATTGTGTGCGGAGTATGTTGTTTGCAAACCTCCATTAAACAAGTACATTGTGCTTACAATTGGTCGCCAGGCATGCTCGCGGGCGCCGTGAGAAGCACGTGTCTCTTCCACCTGGTTAACAATGGCGATTGTGATCGCCACGCGTAACATGTATCGACGAAACAAAACCATCTAATAACGATTAATTACTTTCGCTTAATTATTCACACTTAGTTCCTTCATGTTCGGGAAGAAATTCGCGGCAAATAAGACACTTCATTTCGCCTGCCACCTGCCTCGCTTCACGCAAGGGCATGCTCTCATTGGTCCGCAGCGATCACGTGATTACACAATAAGTCAATTTTACTCAAAGTTTTGAATTCTGGGTTTTTGAATGTTCGCTCCCTGTCAAACCACATTTGTTCATTGACTATGTGGAGTCGGCAAGCCAGATTTCGTCGAGAACGATCTGCACTCGCCGGTTTGAATTCCCCCTTAATGGGGTTTCGGCATGTACTATGTGGAACATACTGAATATTGTGTGTTTTTTGACGATTTACGTCAATGGAAAAACAGGTAAAGCTGAACATCAGGGATATGTGGTCAAATTTTTGAGCCTGAGTTTACAACCCAAATGTTGTTCATATCGTAAGCGATGACCGGTATTATTTGATGTTTTTCCAGCCGTCGGACGGTACTATAGACGTCTTAAATCACGGGAGGGCCAAGCCGATCGATGTCCAACTCCGCGACTAGTGCCAATTTTATTTAAAAAATACTGTAAGAGTTTAACGCCGTGTGAGAATGATAAAGGGTGCAGGAAGCCAAAGTGGATCTGTGAGTGCCATGAACACTGCGGCAGAGTTTGCATAGATCCAAGTAAGTAATAACTTTCAGTTTTGTAAAACTTTGCGGTCGGTTGATCTACACATCGGTGATGTATTTCGAACCGGCGTATTTTTCTAGCATCGACGTTCTACGTGCAGTCGTCAAGAGATCGCATCTACGCAGCCGGGTAGAAGAAACTCGTATATGACACAGTCCACCTTCGTCTTACCTGCTGAACGAGATGAAATTGCTTGATATTTTATCGACGTAAACGTCGAGTGAAACCCTCACATACCCAATCATTAAGACGTCGGGTCATTTCAATCTGTTCTGCAATCGATTTAATCTAGCGAATAATTTCCTTTGCAAACCAAGAAACGCGAAATTAATGAACGTGATTATGAATTTATTTTCATAGATCGTCGTTTCACTTGTGCGATACGGAAGGCCTTGTTCGGTACATACATCAAATGGAGAGACATTTCATATAGCTCAGTTAATTCCATGTACGCCTTCATTTCATTTGCGTAATTTTGAAAAATAACCTGGCGGCTGTTGCCCTCTGTCATATGCTAGTTTTCTGGTAGTCTCTCGCACAGGTTCTGAGCTTATAAAAAATGTCTTTCTTTTTTTTTTTTTCTTTTCCGAGATAATTATAACCCACGAGATAGTTTTACCTGATCTGTTGCGATTCAATGAATGGATCAATCAATCAATGAAACTTGGTTTAAGTCTTACTTTAATTTTGCTTCTTTCGCTTTAAAATACACCTGTTTATCTTCCGCATTGATGGGTTTTCGATTCTATTTTGCACCAATAGCCTAAAGCCATATGCGCCGATTAATTCCCACTCGATATCTGCCAATTATATCATGGCCAACTATTGAAAGCTACTACCTACAAAACTCACCCACCAGATCTACTGGAAGCGAGGTCTGGTTTGTAAAGGCCATTAGGACCTTTTTTTCTGCTCTATTAAAAAAAAAATTCATCCATAGTGTACAGAATATTAAGGCTTATGTGACTCTTGATCTTATAGTCAGAAAATGGTCGAAAATGATCACTGATTCCGCTTGTCGATTACTACTCAATACGTGGTAGCCGGTTCCCGCGAATTCTCTTGTTATCAACAGCTGTTCCTGAATCAATGGTCCCCCTCCAAGACTATGGGATATTTAAATTTGTTTGTGTGGAGAAAGGCGCCCCTTCGCTGCGCCTCAAAGGCGTGCTCAGTCGTTTAAAACAAGCCTTTTGTAACGTTTTGACGTAAAACCAGCTTAAATCTGACGTTTGGCACGTGTCTGCACGCTTGTGTTTGAATAGTATGCATATATTTCGCTTACGATGGCTTCTACAATAAATTCAATTTTAGTCATTGACCAATGTTCGCATTATTTATCAGTGTGATTTTTTTTTAAGCGAGGCCGGCGACCGCAGGTTTTTATACAAACTATTTTTATAGTTATACCAATTTTCTAACCAGCTTCGTTATAATTTGTACTAGCCAGTGTGGCTGATTTTAAGGCCAATTTTGACGTTCGCGCTAAATACCATTTTATTAACTCAATTTGTCAAATAACCGTATATTCTTTGAAAGACAAAACCCCTCTGCCTATTCGAGCATGTGTTTCTTTGGAAATTTGAAAAAGAAAAACTTCTTTCTTTAGCAATATATCCTATGGAAACCATTGTGAACACTGTGAAAAGAATCAGGCACGTTCTATGCGATCTAATTTACCGGAACAAAAGGCATTTGTAGTTGATTTGCAAGCTTCGTTAGATTTGAAGTTTGTCAGGCCGCTTTAATAACAAGATTTTTTTAAAGTAAACACAGTACATGAGACTTTCTAGTAGTATCATAGATGAAGTTCAATTTTTCGTCTCCGTAAAACTGAGCTGACACTTATAAATAAAAGCAGCTAATTTTGATTTTTGCTTTTCTTTAATACGTTACTTAAATGAATATTCCATCGTAATTACTTTCGATCGAAAATCTTGATGCGCTCGACGACCTCACGCAGCAGTGTGGCTTCTTAAAAACTGCAAGCTCCTGTGACATCTTTCAAAAATACATTTCTTTTGCATAAGTCAAGCGAGAAGATATGTGCCATATGAAGACCAATTATTTACTTCATTTGATCTCAGAGTTGTAATTTGAAAGAAGTGGGGAAAAAGCATTGTACTAACATATTCATGGATCAAAAATGTTTACCGATGGGGTGCGATGTGTTTGCATAAAAATGAAAACAGCCAGAGTCTTTAATGAGAAACGCTTTTCAGAAAATTGAAAGCCGTTATTAAAAAGGACTAGGCATTGTTCCAATTATAGACGAATTGTCATGGAATTGAGCTGAGCTCTATATAAAAAAGAAAGAATTAAAATAACGCTGAGCTCGCGCGTAGAATTACGCAGACAGACTTTCCTTCGCGCTTTAAAAATCTTGGAATGAAATTTGCCCGTGCTGTGTTCTCCTGGTGGGGAAATAATATTAAGTGCGGAGAACACTGTGAGAGATCAGAATGAATTATTATCTGATGCAGAGAGAATGGGCCTTGTGGCATTCATTGTTAACCAACTTGTTAAGGCGCGTTTTCGAGGTGTGCCTAATTTCCATAAAAATCACTGGAGCACAAAGGGAACATTTCTTGAGTAACGTTTCGTTTATTTGGATCTTACTTTCTCCAATTTTCGTTCAAGGGCTTGCCGCTATAAGCTTTCTTCTAGAAGCTTTTATGGATTCTCTATTCCATAAAACTTGGAGTATCTCATATTTCGCTCTTAAATTGGTATAAGATGTTTAGCATCGCTGAAAATCTCTGAGTTTCTTTCCGCTTTATTCATTAGCGAGACCTGTAGGATCATTTACATAATGGGATGTATCTCGTGCGAGTTTTAGTCTGTTTAGATCAACAAATCGATGGAGTCTAGTTGCGAAAAGGTAAATAATTGGAACAGGGTGGATCAAGTAAGGAAAATATTTATTCACGGCGCAGGATTTCTTTTTTTAAGAATATGGGTATTTGTTTTCTTTGCCTCGACTGAAAAATTAAGGTTTGCACTCATAATCCTTTTTTTTTCGCCTCTAATTCAAACTCTTCCAAATTAATTAACTTTTGTGGAACATGCCGGCTTCTGTTTTAGATGAGACTGAAGTCTTTTTGATAATTATCAAATTAGCTTTGGAATTTAAGACTCGAAAATAGGTCGCCCAGACTGCGCAAGATTTGATTTTACTAAGATAAAACTATCTCTCAGTTACGAAAATAAAAAACTTCACTAGAGCAAGAGGTCAAATGAAATTACTCTCTATAGTGTGCTACAAAATCAAGTTGCAGATATTTCCATAAACATGTTTACACTTCTTGTGAAATCGGCTCCTCAATTTATCTGTTACAGCTTATTTCACTTTCGAACCGTCTCAAATCACTAGGCATGTTTCAATTACATACTTCCTGTCTTTCTCGGGGTACACCCGAAGACAAAGGAGTTTTTTTTTCCAAGTTATTATCATGACCCACATGTTATATTCCACGTGGCAAGGTATTGCAGTATAATTTACACCATCTCGTTTTGGTTTTATCATTGTTTTCCTACTGAAACCCGCCAAATTACCCACTTTTTCTTAAAGTTGGCTTCAGAGCATGGCACACGAATGGGTACTCAAATGGATTAACAAAGACATTTTTCGGCCTTAATTTGGAAAGATCTCGTCATGTAGAGATAACCTTGAGAGTCAAAATATCTTATCAGCCAAAATTCAGGACACTAAAATATTCTCGTACTGTAAGCGTCTTTAATCGACAACGTGGCTATGTCTTTCATTGACTTAAGGACACTGTAACTCAAAAACATTTGGAGGAGCCTTATTTCTTACACATATTTTGAATGTTTGTGCAAATTGGTCTTTGCTTCAAGAGTTGAAATTCTTGATTTTTCGAAAGGAAGGCTTTACAGGGAAGGTTCGTGCGAAGACTAAAGAAAGTTGTAACGTAAATTACGATCGTAAGGCCTCACAAAATCATTCGGATTCTTTCACATGTACACAGAATATATCCTGTAACTTTTGGGGGTTGCTGTTCGAATCTACGCCTTTCTTCGCGGTTGCAAGTATTTTCTTTAGTTATTTATCTACTTTTTTTCATATTTACTGTCCGCATCTGATTTTTTCTTTTGGACGTTCAACAATAAATGAGAACAGACTCGCTTACTATACATTCACCTGGAGCTAGAGAGCGATAATTGTCTTAGTTCTCTTTATCAGTCTCTTATCAGTCTAGTCCAAGATTTAGTCGTACAATCTAATTACTTGTATTAATTGAATTCAATAAATAGCTTTGTTGGCGATAGAGTTACTTCTAGTTTACGCCAAGAAGCTAAGCTTTTACAGATAAATATCTCTGAATTCCTCGTCTGTGTTTTGAAAGAATATAGTCGGGAAAGACCGATTACGGGATTTCCGTTTTTGTTTTTTAATTTTGGCTTCAAAGTTGGAAAGTATCAGATAGCACCAGCGAAAGTAATGAAGCTTCCAAAAATCAACATGTGCGCTCCTCAGGAAGTGTTTGAGGAGAAAAAAGAAAAAATGAATTAAACGAAACGAAGTGATTTAGTCATGCTAAAACGTATAAGTTAGCGAGGTTCGAATGGTAAATTACTTTTAAAAAGTGCGCCACCCGTTTTCTCGTCCACTGAAAGTACTTAATTTTTGACAAACCTCAAATTGTTTTTAGCCTCATTAGGCAGCGACCTTTGGAATCAAAAATTAATCCCAGTGATGATATCTTTAAAACTGAAAGATGAACCGTGAAAGATTTCCATTGGACGGTTTTCCAGAAATAAACAATCTTCGCTGGTGGGAAAATAGAATTAAGCTGGAATTCGAGAAAGAAAGGAAATACCTTTATGTGATTATACTAGATAGAAACAAGATTTCTTTGTCACTATGAGGACGTCGTAAATGCTGCCAGCTAAAAGTCGAAGAACCGTTCTATTTTTAAAACGTTGTTCCATTTTTGATTTCCACTGACCTCTGTTGCCTTACACGGTCAAG